TTGGACATGATCCGGAGAAGGAGAAGCGGTGATTGATCGTTTGTATAACCTGGAAAATGTTAGAGGTTAGAGTGAATTGTAACTTTGTTTTCTCAGCTAGCTTGGGTGGAGTATGGCGATGATATATGGCGATTGATGAATCGGCGATCAGAAATATACTATGAAGAGTTATCCAAGGTTCACAGTTTGTCATGAAACGGAATGAGAACACCATGCTTGTTTTGCAGATGCTGGCCCACGAGAATGGGTGGCAGCTGGGAGTTCGCTGTGCTGTACACTGGATTGGATTAGCTTGTTGGATGCACTCATCAGAATGGGTCTCGATGAGTACTTCCAAGTGAGTGAGGACATCGTGCATGGTTTTAATACAATCGTTGTTGAGCTTAGGCAGTTGGCACAGAAGAGGATGGAATGGACACCACCACGGATTGGGAGCTTCCTTTGTCCCGGAGACCAGAGTGGCCGTGAGCTGGATCCTTTGTCCCAGAGACCCAGCACCCGTCTCTGTTCGATCACTGGTCCACAAAGATCTTATTGATATCGATATCGACGAGCCACTGAAGAAGAACCTGAGTAATTTCAGCCAAAGAGATTGAGGGAGCTCTCCAGTTGCCAATGACCCAACTACCATTGCTCTGGCAGCCTCTGCTCAGGTTGTCCACTGGTGAATTCCAAATATTTTCACACCCAGCTCAACGATCTCCAATCCAAGCAACGCAGTAAGTAGTGAGTTGATGCTTTCCTGTTCATTAAAGTTCCCGTTTTTCCAGTTTTATTGTTCCTCCAAAGTGGAAGTTGAGCCCTTTGTTTCATAGATTTATAAAGCTGACTAACGATAGCCACCCAAGAGAGTTAGAAAGTCGGCATCATGTCTCCAACTATAGGCTTAAGTTCTGCAGCCTTGAAAACCCCAGGAAGCGATCTTCCACTTCAACAGAGCCTATCACCTCCACTTCACAACCACGGCCTCATTGCTCACCTGGCTTCCTATTTTTTATTTTCTATGAGACTCTTCTTGTCCTTTTGGTAAGAGTGGCAGTAACAAAAAAGAGCCTCTGAAGGAAACATGTGCTTGCTAGGCGAGGTCTTCTTAGCTGTTAAAGTAGAGAATAAGAAATTATACAAGGAAACTAATCTCCAAGGAAGTATGGAGCAGTAGCAGCAGCAAATGGAAGCTTCAGGTTCTTGATATAGTTCTTTTTATTTTTTTCCAAATTTAAAAATATCACATTGTCAAGAGCTGGAATATTATACAAGAAGGTAATAATTCATTTACAGCTAATGGATTTAAGTCCTTGCTCTGTTTTCTAACTTTAACAAAACCCACTGATAAACTTTATAGTAATTAAAAACATTAGGAGATTGGAACTATGATCTATTGAACCACCATGACCTATTGCTATAATATGACCAAAGTGCTGGTTATTGACCCCCTTGTGATGTATGGAGATTTTGCTCTGGTTGCGGGACATGCAATGGAATGATATCCAATGCTACTTGGTAGCTTTGAAGATCAAGCCCTATGAAATTTCAAAAAAAGTTTAAATGAACAGTAAAGAATATGACTTTCAACCTTCTTTGTGATAATTGTGTTACTAAAAAATTTTATGTCTTAACATTGTTGATTGCTGGAGCATTGACACAAACCACAGGAATATTCCAAGAATATTCTATGGCCTATGGGATTTAAGGCCGTAACGCCTTAAGGGTTAGGAGGTTGGCCTAGGGTTCGCTCCCTTGTTCGTTTCATTAGTATCGGAGCAGCATGTTCTTTTATGGATGGCGGTGAGCAAGATATTGATCCTAATGAGGAGTATGGCATTAGTGATGATGGCCATGATGATGCAAAAGAGACTCTTGATGATGTCATTGTGCGGCAAGGACGCCAGATTTCTGAGCTTTAGAGCAACATAAAAGAGGTTAAGGATTCTGTCAATTTCATTAAAGATTTCTTGCTTTGCATGGACCCTCAAGGGTTGAATCAATTTCATGTCCGTGATTACCATTGGTACGTCAAACATGCCAAGGATTATGGTATTGTGGAATGGAAATCATCACCAGATGTTTGTGATAGTCAAGAGGTTGATTCTTGGTTGGAATTGTGGGAAAGTTGTTAATCTCACAATCCTTGTGAGGATAAGGTGAAGATAGATTTTTTTGTGATGAAGCTTATGGGCCATGCTTCTTCGTGGTGGAAGAACTACATTAAAGCCAATCCAAAGCTAACTTTTTGGACTAGTTTGACAAAGGTTTTTCACGCTTCGTTTGTCAAGAAGTTTGAAGAAGTTGATCTCGTGAATCAGCTGTTAGAGATCTGGTAGGGGACTTTATCTTTGGATGAGTATGCCCACAAGTTCTGTGATCTTTGCCTTAATGAGGCACCTATAATGAGCTACTAAAGGTGCAATGTTGATTGAGCTTAGTGGATGTGTAGCAAAAAGTCAAGAAGGATTTTTCAGCAACATTGACTGATGCTATCACTAAGGCTCAGATTTTTTTGCCCAAACCATTAGTCAACTCTGGTCAACGAGATGGTTAATGGGATAGTTAATGTGATGACCAGCTTGCCAATACTTCATATTCGGGGAAGAAATGGTCATTATTCTATTGTGGCTCGAAGCATGAAGATGGCAGTGAGGATAAGAAATTTTGTTTGGACCAGCGAGAGAAGGACAAGGCGGAAGGCAATTGTTTTCGTTGCCACAGAGCTGGCAAGGATTGTTCTGAAGGGGTCAATGAATGATAAGGTGATTGTAGGCAATGATGTGAGTGATAGTGCTTTTGGGGCTGTATTGCTTCAAGTTAGGCATTCTCTTGCATTCATAAGCCACAAGTTTGATGCCACACAGTGGAATTGACCTACTCGAGAATGGCGATATTATCTATATGGATCAGACTTCCATGTAGATTCAGATAATCAGTCTCTCCAGATGTGGATCTTCGAGGCCATCTTGCTCGTTGGCAAGAGTTCCTGCAGGAAATGTCTATTAAGATCCGGCAAAAGCATGGAGGTGACAATAAGGTGGCTGATGCATTATCCAAGATGGTAAATTCTATCTCGTTTGTGAAGCTATCCAGCAATCTCTTGAATGAGCTTAAGGAGTTTGCTGACTTCGACTTCTTTATCACTGATATTCACACGAAGGTTTTGTTGAGGGATGCCTCTACAGATTTGAAGGGTGACAAGTTTGCATCATTCGAAATATGAGATGGAATCCTGGTGAAAAAGGGATGTGTAGTGGTTCCTCGTGTTGATAAACTCATCAAATAGATTTTGGTTGAGTGTCATGATCTGTCAAGTGCTAGGCATCCAGGGGTATTAAGAACATATATGTTGGTGAAGAGGCATTTCTTTTGGCCTGGGATGAAGTCAGATGTTGAGAAGTATGTACGTGATTGTTTGACCTTAAAGTTGATCATCAGAAGCTCGTTGGCCTCTATCATCCTTTACGTGTACCCGAGAATAAATGGGATAGCATTTTGATAGACTTTATCACTGGTTTGCCCAAAACCTTTTGAGGAAATGATGCTATTTGGGTTGTTGTGAATCATTTGACAAAGATGGCTCACTTCTTCCCTGTGAAGACGATGATAAAAGCTTCTGAACTTGCTCAGTTGTTTGTAGACCAGTTATTCAGTCTCTATGGTTTGTCGGGTGACTTTGTGAGTGATCGGGATCCCAAGTTCACATCCAAGTTTTGGCAAACGGTCTTTAAGAAGCTAGTGAGCATCCACAATCAGATGGACAGACAAAGCGCATGAATCAGCTATTAGAATATATGCTGAGGTCTTTTGTGGGAAACTTGACTTGACAAAGAGTATGGGAGAAGGACTTGCCTTTGCTTCAGTTTGCTCACAATAACGCTCATCAATTGGCTATTGGCATGTCTCCCTTTATGACGATGAGCCTAGGTCTCTTATGAGTTTGAATTTGGCTTTGGTTCGGGTATTTCATGCTTATGATTTCCTGGAGGATATGCAAGACAAGCTTGAGTTGGCAAAGTTGAACATGAGGCAAGCTCAAGAGTGAGACAAAAGATTGGCTGATGAGCATTGTCGTCATCAAGAGTACAAAGTTGGTGACCAGGTTTTCTTTAAGCTGTCGGATGCACAATGGTCTCTGAAAGGAAGTGGTAGTGCTAAGTTGTCTCCACGGTATTGTGGGCCTTGGACAATTTTACAGCATGTGGGGGATCTTGCATACACTTTGGACTTGCCAACTAGTTCAAAGATTTATCCAACATTCTATATGAGCAAGCGTAAAGTGTGTTTGCACTCTGGTGATGTCATGGATCAGTCCATCATCCAGGTCCCAGAGATTGATGCAGAGAAGGCTGGGGCGGTTATGACTTGGATGACATTCCTGAAGAAAGGGAAAATTGAGTTTTATACCCATATTGCTATAGATTTGAGCCGTTTATTCTATTCTCATTCTCTTGTTTCCATGACCGTATTTTCATGCGAGAAAGCCATATTGCTTTCTTTCTTTCGTGGCCATTTGTCATGATGTCAGTGTTGCCGTTTGCACATCTTTTCTCCATGGCCGTATTGCCTTGGACTCCTTTCATGGGAGGCTTGTTTAGCTTCTTGAGGCTGCTGTATGTGGCTGGGTCAATGAAAGGAACCATGGGAATATTCTGAGAATATTCTATGGCATGTAGGATTTAAGGCCATAACACCTTAAGGGTTGGGAGGTCGCTCTCTTGTTCGTTTCAAGCATTGCCCCACATGAGTCCTGTGTATGAGCAATTTAAGCTACATTTCTAATATATTTTTGTATAGTCAAGAGTCGATATCTTCACATTGTGCATTGCTACATCTAGACCAGAGACCCTAAATTGGAATGGTAACAGTGAAGCCTGGTCAATGCTGAGGTGGCAGTTGGCAGCCTAGAAACTTTTAAATAGGAGTTAGGTGATAGGAGTTGCAGGTTTTGGAAATGAGAATAACATGAGCGTTTTAGTCTGACCTTTTCAGAGTGGAGACACAGTGTCTCGGTGCTACTTTAAGCTGTCAAACATGGTTCTGTCTCTTACATTCTTAAGATTCTTCATCAATAGCACAGGTACCACAATCACCTTGCTAGTATCCACTTTGGACCCTCTTCCTCTACACGGAGACAACTCATTCTTCTGGATAATATGTCTTGTTTCCGATAACTCCCAAAACCGCTGTCCAAGTGAGTTGTTGACAGTTGGCAACATTTGAGGCTTGGAAGCAGATATAGTACTGCCAGAGTTGAAAATGCTGCCGAGAGTAGAGCAATTGAGGGAGCCATTTCCATGTCTTGGAGAAGTTGGAGGACCGCACATATTTTCAAAGTTCATGGCTGTTACTTTTATAGGAACCTTACCTGGTATGGCCGTAACATCTACTAAGCCACTTCCATCTAAAACTGGAAAGGACTCCTTGTTATTTCCAGTCGAGAATATATCTGCTTCTTCGCGTTCATCCTGGAACTGCAGTGTCAGAAAAGAAATAAATAAATAAAAATAAGAAGGTCAAACTCACTTCGAAAATTTCCTTTCCATCAAGATATTGCAGCTGTCTCAACTTGTTAATTGCACCTATGCGATAAAACGGTTGCCTACTCATCTGCATTTTTCTAAAATTATAATTAATTCCTCAATTACGAATTTGTACCGGATTGTTTGCCAAGGACAGGTCCACAAGGTTTGGCATGCGAGTCAAGCAGTCAATGCTTGAAAGTCCACCAAGCCTATTAGATGTTAGGTAGTTAGAAGCCAAGTCCAAAGTTTCGAGAGATGTTAGATGCTCCATGTGACTAAGCGCACGCAGTACATTGTCGCTCAAATGTAGCACCTTGAGATTGTATAGTCCAGCAAACGAAGAAGGCTCAATTTCCTTTATACTGTTGTGGTCTAAAAAGAGTTTCTCCAGAAATAGCAATCCATCTAGTCCATCCAGCTGCATTTTGTTTTATTGAGCCATGCGTTATAAACAAAAGATTGACTGACCTTAGTTATTCTGTTGTCCTGCAAAGATAAACTTTTGAGATTTGCAAAGGTGTGGCGTAATTGCAAGGAAAAAATACTACTGATCGCGTTCCTTGCCAGCTGCAAGCATTCAACGTTTTCAAGTCCAGTGTATGTGTAGCTCGTAACTTCGTGAGAGTGGCAACTGGTTATAATTTGTTGATCGCCAACAGAAGTGGAAGAACTATGAAAAACGGGTAACGAAATATCTAACAGCGGCCCATTCTCAATATTGTTGTTTTCAATGCGAAGCACAACAAGGTTTCTCAGAAACCTATAGTCCAGGTTTAGATGAAGAACACAATAAAAACGACTTACTGAAGACCATGTACGTGAGAAAGGAAGTTGTTGCTAAGATTCAGTTCAGTAAGTTCTTGAATATCTTTGTTTTCAAAAACATCTCCACAGTGTCGTAGACTTCTTCCAGACAAATCCAATACCTACAGAACAAATGAACACTGAAGAACCAAACATTACATTGGCGACCACCTCTACTCCATTAAAAGAGCTTCGTCCTAAACGTTCTTCTAAGGATTCTCGCGTTAATCGACCTATATGTTTCTCCCGCGCTTGTGCTACTTCACTGCTGGTTACAATTCTTCCATCTAGCACCTGTATACAAAAACATATTTTGTGCGAAATACATGATGCTTTTACCTTAAGCTTTTTCATACTGTATATAGAGTAGGTCCTGTACTCTGAACATTGACATAAAGCATTGCCAGACAAGTCAACAACCATAAGCTTTGGAAGCTCCCGTATATGTAGGAGATCACGCATGTCAGAGATTTGATTGTTTGCCGCATACAGCTCCATCAGACATATTAACCCACTCAAGCCCTATGAAGCATTATGTGAAATGTTGACATAGTATGATTATAATTGGGTACCTTTAAGGACTGGATATAGTTTCTCTCGATTGAAAGCTGAGTCAAGGCTCCAAAGCCGTGCAAATGAGCACAAGATGTAAGATAGTTTCTGCTAAGGTCTAGCTTCCAAAGGGATTGCAATGGAGGAATACCTTTGACCTTTGCAATTGACATTTTGAAATCAAAACCATAAGTTTCTTCATTTTAGTGTCTACCTGTTCGATATGGTTGTTGTCCAGAATGAGCTCTTCTAACAATGTGCATGATTCTATGTCTTCAATGGTGGAAATGTCATTGTTGGACAGCAAAAGCCGTCGGAGATTTGGAAGCTTGCCAAAGGACTCCATCTTTTGAAGCTTTTGATCTTCCAGATGCAACTCCTCAATCTCATCAAACCAGGCTTCATCCTGATCAAGTTCCTGAGCATTATGCAAGTGTTTTACCCTGTTAAGAATTCGAACTTTAGGTTCTAGCATCTGCCAGGGGTTATGTCCTGGCGTTTGGCCGCGAGTTTTGGCGAGGTCGTCATGGCCACCCAAAATCGTTGGAAAAGTAAACTTCCATTCAGAAAAAGAATTGGCGATGACATAAAATTGCTTAGCATAACTTTCATCCACACGCTCCTCTGTTTAACGATATAGTTAGGATAAGGTAGTCTTACAAAACACTGACCAGTGGAGATTGGCAAGCTATCTAGAATTAAAAGTGATGGTACATGTCTTGAAACCACTTGTCTGTATGAAAACTCTTCTTCTAGCGGATTGTTTCTCATGTTGAGGCTTTGCAGTCCGGGGACCTGTGAGTGAAACTATACTTAAAACCTCGTCAGAGCTACAAAGTTTTTACTTGTCCATGAAGAAGCTTCAAATCAGTCGAACACCATATCTCATTGCCTGTCAAGTCAAGTACTTTCAAGT